TTGAATCAAATTCACCAATTTTGTCACAAACTGCGCTCTATATTCGCAATGGCATTTACACGAAGTACAAACACGCCACACATACATGCAGGCAATCACGAGCATTCGTATCATAGTACAAGGCCCTAGTCTGGCACACATACCCAAAGCCTTCTGAATATAAGATAGCAGCTTTACGTACATCGGTTCCGTAGTGATGGGCGCAAGTTTATTGTCGGCCCGAACTGGGCCACTAAAATCGGTGAGGTGAAGAGTAGGCGTATTGATGTATTATATTTGGGAACGCTAGAATCCTCAATAGATATAAGTGCACGATTGAATGACGCTTAATAACTCCGCAATCAATGTGAGTGCTTCCATCAATTCGTATGCGAATGTCACGGACGATTTATCACTGCATAATACACACAAAACAGTATAAAGGTCTCATACCACTCAGGGATCACAACTATGGCTCTATCCTCCTTTTTCTGGAATGGATTACGCCCGTGGCGTTCTATTCCTGGTGCACTCGCAGTCCTATATCAATCGGATATGATATGCATTGAACGATGATATTTAAGACTGTATATTCGAATTGCCGACAAGCGGCGATGTTGAAGTTCCACAGGAAGGCTGTCAATGAATATTATCTGAAATATGTCTACCATCCATCTCTAAATTGAGTTGTAAATTTCCTTGGTTTAACTTTGTAATTTCCGATGCCAAGTGGTCTTGGGAACAAGCACAACCCTCGCGGCCATATTCGCACACACTTATGCACACACCCTACCTCTTGACCTTCTGCGCGGTGTGTTGGCCATTGCTCTGCTTTGTACTACCGCCAGACCCTTGCGCTGCCTTGGACTGGGGATAGCTCTCTGCTCGCGCGAGTGTGTGCGCCTTTCGTGGGCGCTTTTCGGTACCTGTGTGATCATGGATTGCGATTCATCGAGTGATGCGCATGAAATTGTTGCACAATTGTGTTGAACCGCATCAACTTGGAAAAATCGTAATTTTAGTTGCAGGTTCCTGAGTTGAAAAAAAAGACAGACTCTTTGTAAAATCACACTGAAACTCGTGGCCGTGCAGCTTCCTTAGTTTCGTTTGTGTATACTCCTGGAAGAATAACTACTTCTTTAATTCGCCATGTACAGCTAAATACAATGGACGACTGGTAGCTTATATGGCATATGTTCACAATGACAATGCGTCTCTAAACACTTCTCAGAACTTTGCCGAAAGAATTAAAAGTCGTAGCGTGATCAACGATACGCACATATACATATACATATGAGTACACATTTGAGCAACACAATTATCTGGGTGAGATCACATTAAATAAATACGACTTTACGTGGATGAGTGCTGACGAACGTACACATCGTGATTTATAGCTCGGTTTTATGCAGGGAACAATTCAGTCCACAGGTCAATTGTTGCAGTTCCCGTACCAAGTGCGATAAGGGCGCCTCTCCCTAGTGAAACTTCTCCCCAAACCCCTATATATACTTAACACTTAGCATGCCCCGCATGAGGAAGAAGAGCCTCTAGGCATACCTGAATTAGCGGACGGCTTCAGTGTGTCTTCGCCACATCCAGCGCGTCTGCTCAACGCTTTTTCCTTGTGGGTAGTGATGGACTAATGATTTATCAGTGAGTGAACCGCCTACTGATATGATATTACGAATGTATGTCGATATCTCTATGTTGTGTTATAGTAAGAGAAAATGTAGTAACCTCCAAACTCATTGCATTACTCTCCGGAAATCTGGATGATTTTTAACATCTTTTTAACATCGGGGACAGATGTACTTTTAGGAAAGCAAGAAAGGATTATACATGGTGGTGACAGAAAGGTGCCCTAAGTGGGATATGCACATGGGTCGCGCTCGCATGTGCCACAAAACAATATGATATGAAAGAGGTATAGAAAAAATACACATTGAACTACCCTGACACCCACTTGTGCAGTGCCCACCCATACTTACACACTCGCGCAATCAAGAACAGGCGTAAATGTTACCACACATATACACACATGTATATGCATGTATGCCGTCGTGCTGTCAAACTCCTATACATATACGAACAAAACTTCGCAAGTTCGCCCACACGACCAAATGCACTCAAGCTCGAGTAAAACTTTCATATACATGTACATATTTTTTTTCTTCCTATCACATTCACATCCAGGTAAAAACATATATAAACCATGCCAGTATGCTCCTCACCAAGCAAGAATAGATGTAAGTCACTCACAGATTCCGGGACGTCTGAGAGCGGGATAGCCGGGGGCGGCTTTTCCTCATTATCAATAGGCCCACTGTCACCCGCATAGTCATCGCTGAGCTTTTTGTGCGTTCTTGCAGCCAGATCTTGTATGTCTATAGTTGCCTTTACTCGATGTTTCTTGGTTTGGGACTGATCAGCAGACACCTCTTTGGTCCTGAAATCCCCCACACCACCCTGCAACTCCCTATGTGTATCTTGAACAACAGCCTGTATATCTGCCAGCGAAACCAACTTCGGGGGACCGTGCCGGTGCTTATGTTGTTTCTTCGTACCCCCTGGCGAACCAACAGACAACTTCTTGTCACCAACCGCCCCACTCACATCACACAGTGACTTATATCCTTCCCCCACCCTGTCGTAAATGGGCACTGCAACTGGCGGTACATCGTCAGGTTCACGCACCAACTGTTCCGTACATTGATCAGCCTGTGAGTTTCTTGTACTCCTTCCCATATCTTCTTCCGGAGCTCTGGGGGGTGGTTTCATATGTGGTGGTTTCAGGGGGGGTGGCCCATCATCAGAATCAGAACCCGCTTCATCGGTACAATGGGCCGTCTGTGCACCGCTCACACTGTTCTGCGGCGAACTTGGAATAGCGTGCAGTCTATCGGTAGTGGAATCAGCCTCAAGTACTTTCCCACCCGCTTTCTTATGTGCTTCTGTTATATCGCCAGGAATAGCTGCTGTGTTCACCACTAAACACTGTGCCGAACAAATGGTGAAGACATAAGCTAGTAGGAAGAAAAGGTAGGAAGCTTAAGCTAACGGCAAAGGGTATGCACGACACACGCACATTTGGTTTCCCTGCAGGTGTCCAAGTTGAGACCCACAGAGTCCACACATCGCTAACATGTGTTTTAAACGTAAACACAGACCAAGCAGCACACGCTGACTATAGTGGTGTCAGGGGTTTCACTAGCATAAACTCTGCAAAACCGTGGCAATATGGTCATAGATCTTCTCATACATACGTATCTCGCATGAGGAGTACTCTAATGAGATACATCCAGTCACTCGTATACTATCATTGTGGTGTCACAGATTACCGGATCGATGCTGACCAAGATGTGAGCAGATTCGGCACGCGGCGAATTGCTACGGCTGCCCATGACTGACTGCTTCTTGATACAAGCTACATCAAAAGGATGAGCGACACTTAAATTAGGGAACAAACCCCAAAAGGGGCAAAACAAAACAAGCACAGTACTGATATCACGCGGATGTGTACTTCAATATCCGTTCCTGTACCATCCCAGTTTCTCAACAAATTTACTCCACACGATCATATTTGGATGCATGGTGTAGTGTAGTCGGAATTGCCAGTCCAGGCCATGGACAATAAATATCAAGTTCGGAATACCTGAAACACCAACCTGCAACCAACAACCCTTCCACCCGTTGTCCCTGTCACATTGTTTTATACTTTTTATTTCAACACATTGTGTGATTGTATCGTATTTTACGCTGAATATGTGCTGGTGCAAACAGTCCGAGTGTGCACCCTGTGTTCAGGCTGTCTCTGCTGATAGCTAGCCGAAACAACGCAATCAGTCGGTCACTTACTATGGGATACTCAGAAGCTCCAACTTTCTCAGCACACAGACTACACAATAGTGTCCGATGATGAGATGAGTGTCTGAAACACAAGCACACCGTAGCAAATACAACTGGGGTTGGGCCTTCGAGAAACCAATTTGTCACCCACTAAAACTTATGCCAGAATGTGCATGGTAAGTCGAGCCACTGCGTTGGTCAAATCAAGATCGACAGCTCGCATCCGATCGAATATCAGATGATGTGTGTGTATAAGATATCTCGGGTGCTTATTCAAAATATGTGAAACCTACGGTGGAGTCGCCTGCAATGCATTGGCCATATCAGCAGATCAACATCTTGCATTCAAATGGGTACGAGAATATCAGACGCATGTACAAGGTATCTTAGGTATACACTACAACTTATGCGGAATATACATGGTAAATCGAGACACTCCATGGACAAGGACATGCCAGAGTTCAACAGCAATTAACAACCTCCGAGCTGTGTGGGGTGGTATCATATACCGCGATACTTTGATATCAAGATACATTTGCAAACAAACGTAATACATGAAGCAGCAAAAACACTACCTCACTTAATCTCGCATAGGCTTACAGGCTAATTGCAAGCAGCATAGGTCTGGTTTTAAAAAAAATAGTCGTATTGGGTATATATATATATGTATATATATATATATATATATGTGTGTGTGTGTGTGTGTGTATGTGTGTGTGGTGTTGTGTGTGTAT